AACTATCAGTCATATGACACACAAGTTTAGCTATAAGAAGAAAAGGGTGGGGATGTCAGGATGTAGGAAGGTGGGAAGGTATCAGTGAGGCATAATATTAGGTTATTTTAAACATCCTGAAGCTGGGAACATGTTCATTGTAAGTTTGTTTTTTGTTTATATATATATATATATATATATATATATATATATATATATATATATATATATATATATATATATATATATATATATATATATATAGCTCCACAAGGGATCAGACACCATGGGATGAATAAACAGACCTATGTGACCTGATTTCTAATTTCCTTAATTTTTGTAATTTTCTTCTTCTTCCCTTTGAGATAATTTCACTGGTAAATGACTCCTCACAAACACAATTAATAAACTAAACTCACAGTGGGGATGGTATAAAATAGAAGACTATAATTTTTATACTATCGATGCCTTGAGAGTGAATGTCTAAAGGTCACAAGATTATTCCATATTACATTTTCTTGCTTGGCACAGTTACTGTGCTAACAATATTTGTAAAATCTTGTGTTGACTTTCACACTGCCAATTAACCCATATTCCTGGGTGTGTGGGGACCCACATGAGCAGCGAATATGTTCGCTATGCTGATGCACTATGCCAGGAGAGCACCCAGGCCAGGCAAGTCCCACACCACAAGAGCATTAGCAAATGACAACAGTCCTGGAGTTTGGTAAACATTGCTACCTCTGGGAAATGTTAAGGTCTACAGTTGTGGCAGGTGACAGCTGTTGGAATAAGCCAGCTACTGGGCAATATGCTATGGGCCATTTATTTGTTCCTGACTGTACATTATGCTTTTTACTCTGTGGTGACATTTGTAGCATATTTCCTGTTGTTAATTTTTGAAATTCTTCCCTCTCTTCCATTACCATTTATATTTTGATTGAAGTTTAATTATTGTCCTAACTGACTGGCCCATGACTTCTTTTAATAAGTACTACTATTCTCATCATTGCCACTCTGTTCCCACATCAATCATATGTAATTTTTACAGTTAGTGATTTTGTGTTTTAGGTTGGCACTCTTCTTTGTTAACCCCTAAAAGCTAGGTGGCAATGGTTGATACCAATTAAAAATGTATCATAAAAGCTGAGTGGCAGGAGCTATAGAAAATTAAGATAAATTATATGTGTTTTAATGTGCAACTGTGGCATCCATATAGAGTACCCCAAAAATTCTAGAAAGCCCAATATGACCATTCCCTCCCCTCCACCACACTCAGACCATTTCTGCCTACTTCTGCCCACTCTTTCAGTCCCCTCATTTTAGTTGATTACTGTGCTCCATCATCCTAAAACCCAACCTAATCTTAGTATGACATGTAACAAGCTCTATCTCACATTGCACCATTCTGTTCCTTGGTTACTCATGTTAGCCCACCTGCCCACTCCTGCTCATCTCACTCTCTCAGTATCCATCTCAAACTTTTCACTGTTTGTTATATATTTGGCATGATAAACATGAGATACATTTTATGGTAAAAATCTTGTGCCTTCTAGTTCTTTGGCCTTTCATTTCTGCCAGTGTACAGCCTATTTTCAACCTTGTTTGTATAAGGTTTTGTAAACATTTGATATTAATATGTGAAACACATTTTCTGGTCAGAAAATTGTTCCTTATAATTTGTCCACCCATTTAAACCTAAACACACCCATCTGATCTAAAATATTGAATAAAATGAGGTGGGCAGAGATGCTATCAGGTCTATAAGAAAACACTCTTCAAACTTGTTGAAAGCTAAAGAAAAACTGACAGAGTTGTTGGTTGCAGAAGACATAGTAGTCTAAAATTTTAAAAGGACTTAATCTGGGTTAAGTCATTATCTTCACCATTTACTGACTCACACAGTTAATTTATTAGCTGATATGTGTTTGATTAGGATCCCTATTAAACCAATCTTTAATGGCTTATATCATTGGCTGCTGCTCCTCCTACATGCTGTCTTCTTAGATCTGCAGGTCAGTGTTGTGTTCTACTGGCATGTGAGACCCTGGTTTACTCTATTTTTCTATGGGCATATGTAACCAATGCCTCCCTGACACATCTGACATATCAAGAGTACATGAACTCCACCTTTTCATACTGCTGGCCACAGTTATTTTTATGTCAACAATATTATAATAATATATTAAACATTTATTTGTCTCTATGTACCTCAGTTATTTCCTGTTTGGTTTTGGTTCCACTGAGTGAGATTCAAGATTTGTGTAGAGGCCGAGTTCTTCTTTGCATAAGGATTGTGTCCCTAAAAGTTTTCCAAAGTTAATCAGTTGAATCCAGGCGAGAGGAACATCCTTTCATGAAAAAAATAGGCCGTGGGGTAGCTGATAGCAACATTAAGGATCAGGGTGACGAGCATCTCACCATGGGACATTGTTGCCAAGTGGTAAGTGACAAGAACGTCTTGCCATGAGTGCAGAAGCTTTTAGAGGCCTTTATTTCCATTGGTTAACCTAGGTGGACTGTACCATCTGTGAGCCATACCAGGAAGAGTGCTGGCTCCAGGGAGACCACTACATCCAACCTATTTCTGCTAACCATTATTGGCAGAGCAGGGTGTGTTGCAGAAAACTGAATGCAAAAATAAAAAAAATAATAGTTACTTATTTTTATTGTTATTGCATGACCTAGGGAGATAATATGGAGCCTGCTTATGAACACAGACTATGACTATCTTGATACAGAATAACAAATGACAATAGCATAATAGCACTGCACAAAAAGAGGCAAGGAATTTTGATATTGTGCAGGAGTATGGGCCAGGCCTACAAGCTACACACCTGGGAGAGTTGCCATTCAAGTAAGGTTAATGCCTGGATCTTATAAGCCATGAGGCACCAAGATACAAAAGATTTATGGTACCTTTGTACAATGTCAGTGTAGGATATTCCCCTTAGTGTTTAATGAGGTCTTCCCAGACACTCATCTTTATTACAATACTTATTTCATATAAACGATTATCATCTTATTTTTTGTTTTAACTTCTTATAGCCAGGCATGCCTATAGCAGTCATGAAAAATCTAATCATGATGAGTACAACTATAGGTGCCATAACTCACTCTGGTGAGTCAAGTGGTAAGGGCTGCTGTTCACAGTGAACCCCCTGGCAGAAAAGCTAGACTGCTGCCAGAAGTCACCGGAATGAGTGACACAGAAATTTATGGCACCACCAGTATAGGGTTAAACTGATTGTGATCTTACATCAGTTATACTAACTTGACCTGGAGATACTATGCTTCAGAGGTCAGTGATTTTCTCAATATAATATATAGCTTATTTTCTTTCTGTGGATAGTATATGACTCACATTTTTCAAGTTACTGAGTTGGCTGGTCTGGCTCATGCTCATACTGCTCCTAAATTGGGCCACTGAGCCTTCTGTGCCCTACTGGTCAGTCATCCCCTTGCTTAATATCTCTTGGATGTCCCCTGGTCTACTCAATATTCAACTCTATAGCTGATTAACCTGGATCTCATCTTTTAATGCACTGGATCCAAGTAATGAACCCATTACATCACAAAAAAATAAGGACAAGGGCTAGGTGAAGGGATTATGCCATCATGGAGAAATATGGCTGAGAGTTGGGGTGACAGGAATAAATCTCAAAGTTCTTGGAGGAAGAGTTGACTTATTGGGGATTAGAGTAGGGGTTATTATACTATTTCCACTGGTAAACAAAGGTGGAATGTACCATCCATAGGCTAGAAAAGAGCACTAGTTACATGGAGGACACTATTTCCATACATAGTATCCTATTCCTGTCCACTCTGACCAGTAGCTCATACAAAAATATTAAAATAAAAGAGACTAATAACAAAATGTTAAGTCTTGTTATTGCACAAAATTTTAGACTACCTAGAGAGATGAGTCTGTCTAAGGAAAACATTCTATTACCATCTTGATACATATTATCAAATGACAAAGTCCTTGAAATATGTCAAAAAGGCAAAAAACAATTATGCTAAAAAAAAAATAAATAATAAAAAAAAAACATTGTAAAGGGGAGGCAGGGAGTCTTGAAACCACACAGGAGTGTTCATGTGGGCCAAGCTTACAAGTCACACACCTGAGAGACTTGCCATTTAAGTAAGCCAAATGCCTGGATTTTGGGCCATGTGCAGGCAGCAAGATGACCAGATCAATGGGTTAAGTCTGCATTACTTTACTTTCATGGTCATTACTCTACAGTAACTGAGCACTATACTGCAATCCTTATCCTATATTGTTTTGTTATACATTTCTCCATTCAGCCTTTTCTTTAATTGTATTTAATCATATTCTCGTTATTGTGGTCTTTTTCCCTCCCTCCAAATTTTTTCCTAGACCTCAACAGAAGAAAAATGTTATTTTCTCTGTCTAAGAGGTCAGTAGCATGGATTCCCCTTCTGTCACTATAACTCTACCTGCTAATGTTACCTTCATATTTGATATTCGGCTTTCCTTATCCTGCAACAGTGGAGCAATAAAGGGCAGCAATTTTTCATCTCTCATATGCCTCATTATCATCATTAAAATCATCATTATTACTACAATTATTATTACCATCATTTTACTGTGGTCTTGATTTTTACTGCAGTTTATCTAGTAATACCGGAAACAATCATTAGCATTGCTAATATTAATCATAATCACAGCCATCTTCATTACAAAAGCATTATTATTTTTTCTTATCATCAACTATACATGATTTTCAAAATTATAATAATCATTATCCTTTAGTAAAACCAAAAATACCAAATAAATTTAGCTACAAAATATTATTCCTTTTATCATCTACACAATATTAATGATGCAACTACTATTAATACTTTGCCTCCATCATTAATATAATGATGATCATCCTCCTCATTTACAACAATCAATAAACCAAACCATTTCCTCATCATTATTTCCTTCTCAACGTACGACATAAGTGGTGTAGACAGACAAGAGCAAAAGCAAAAGAATGTTTGAGATACAGTACCTGCATTCCTACCAATCTGACTCCTAACGTGATTGTGGTTGTGTTAGCCGCTTTGGCAGTTTGACTTTTGCGTTTGCTTTCCGGAGCGTCATCCCCGTATTGTCTTGTCCCCATCTTCAGATCAAGAACACATGGATATCTGAACTTGAAGGTGAGGTTCTCCAGCATTATACATTCTGAAATAGGAAAGTATGGTGAAATGAACATATAATGCATATATATACATCAAATAGGCGATATACCATTCAAACTTCTAGAAAGCCCAAGAAATGAGTTCATTATTAAAAAGGGGGAAAAAAAATAGAATAACAACAAATACAATAATGATAATAATAATAGTAAGTACATAAATCATGATATCACAAGTAGTGAAGCAATGTGCTATTACTTAATAAAACACATGTCTTTCTGCTTCTCCAGGAAGCTTGAAACGAAACTTTGTTTTATCACAAATTCAGTGAAATCATGTGCAAAAAGATGCGCTCCATATATAGCAAGTATATATGGAGCTGCATAAAGAAAAGAGAAGACAAGAAAAGAAGAGAAACAAAAAGAAAAGAAAAGTAAAACTGATAAAAGAGAAGAAAAGAAAAGGAACGAGAAGAGAAGAGAAGAGAAAATAGAAAAGGAAAGTTGAGAAAAGAAGAGTAGAGAAAATAAAAGACAGGAATAAAAAAGAAGAGCAAGGAAGAGAAAAGAAGAGAAAAGAAAAAGGGGAGGAAAAAAGAGAGTGAAAAAAAAGAAAAATAATAATAATGACTGATTTTCTTGCATGGACATGACATGAGGAACTTTCTTGGAAACGTGATTAATTTCATGAGAAACTTTCATGAAAATGTGCTTTAAATCATCAGTCATGGTTCAATGTACTGCCCACTGTAGGTTTTTGTGAATATTGTTGTGAACATACGGCTCTACAAATGCTCAGCCACCAAAGAGTCCAGTATGACCTCACCCACTTTTCCAATTCCATGAATTTTCAGGAAAAACAAGTAGTAATCATTATCATTATTATATCATTCTCATTTTTATTATCATAATTCTATTATTTTTATCATCAATATCTATTTTTTTTTATTATCATTATAATAATAATAATAATAATAATAATAATAATTATTATTATTATTATTATTACTATTATTATTATAATAATAATTATTACTATCATTATCATTAATCATTATTATTACTATTATTATTATTACTATTATTATTATTATTATTATTATTATTATTATTACTATTATCATTATTATTATTATCATTATCATTATTATTAATATTATTAACATTATTATTATCATTAATACACCTTATCATTACTACTATCATTCCCTCATCACTGTCATTATCATCACTTTTTTTTAATGTTACTTAATTCTGTACAGCTATAGCAATCAACAGAATATTGTTACACAGTTCCTATGAATGCACATTGTGTTAGGTCATGTCTAAGGACTTCTATAATTAAAGAACATATATGTAAGCAATAAATACAAGTTTGTAATAATGTAGATGTCAAAAAAAAAAAAAAAAAAAAAAAAAAAAAAAAAAAAAAAAAAAAAAAAAATATATATATATATATATATAATATATATATATATATATATATATATATATATATATATATATATATATATATATATATATATATATATATAAAAGTTTTCTCTACATGTGGAAAATAATCTTAATGAAAAATTGGCTGTTACTTCAACATCAGGAAAGAAATGTTTTAACCCAAAGCCGCCAGGTGGTTTCCCAATATGAAAGCCCTCTCTCCCAGGCTATATTCATAGTGGCCAGGGCCCCACTGCTGGGGGAATGTGTCAGCACCATAGCATAGGCAGCATAACCATACATGCCCCTGGAAAACGGGGCTGGTGCACCATGGCATGAATGCACATTCTAACTAGAATATAGTCCTGGCATGCCTTGGCATGTACAGTAAGTCCCCAACTTAAGAACATAATGGGGACCGAGAGGCTGTTTGTGAGTCGATTTGTTTGTATGTCGAAAGTCGGGTCTCCATTAAATTTTTTCCCATTGTTTTAAAGTTTTGTTTACATTAAGAATACCTGTAAATAAATCCTAATAAGTACGACATACCTTAGACAGTACCAGAGTCTTGAACTATATTCGTCCCCGGGAAATTTGAAGTTTGCTAGCATCTTTCAAACAATTTTTTGGACTTTAGTATTTAAAAAAATTTTGTTTGTATGTATGGAATGTTCCTAAGTAGAATGTTCTTAAGTAGGGGACTATCTGTACGTACATGCCACCCAGTAGCAAAAGGTTAAGAACAAGAGATGGTGAAAGAGGTCTCATATGATGTTAAAAAATTTCAATACAGAGATCATGGAATATTTCATCTTGTGAAATTACACAACTCTTTATATGCAAAAGAACAGACATTAAACTTAGTTATGACTAGTAAGCAATATAATATAAAAATGAATATATAAAATTAAGTCTATATATCATTTAACCCCAAACCAACAAGCATGGCATGTACGTAAATGCCACTGTCACTCTGAGTTTACTTTATTAATTATTTTTACACATAGATGGCTACACTTGTACTAAGTCACCAATGGGCAAATTATGAATACTAACTGTCTCACCTGTTTACTCTTTCCTTAATTTTCAAAAATATTTTGTCTCCTTATATTGCCACTACTAATATCAATAACATTAGAGTAATTATAACATTAATAAAAATAACACCACTGATATTGATAGCATTAAAAAAGCTTTCCCTCAAATTCAAGGAAAGTTGAAATCAGGTAAGGTCACAAGGTCTACTAATAGACTCCTTTGTGGCTAAGCACTAGTAGAGCCATCTAAGTGCAGAGACATTTCACAAAAAATTCTAACCTGACCACAGCATTTACCCAGTGATGCTGGGTTAATCCATTGGCAACATGTAACATATCATTATGTTTAGGCAAAAAAAAACATCATGTCATGAGCTTTTGTTCAAAATGTTAGGTAGCATGACATGATGTGGAAATATCATGATCCAGATGCATAATTTTTGAAGGATGAACACTTTGTTAAGGTACAATACATCTGAATTAAGTAATATAACCATTTATTACTCATAAGATGAGTACAAAGCACCTAAGATATATATATTTCCTCTATATTTATATGTCATTAAAAATATATTAATGGGGTGAGTGAAAGCACTCTAACAAGTAACAATCTCCCTCATGTTTCTGGCCGTTGCCCTGGTGGGTAGTTGTGTACAGGACTTAACTTTGGCAGCTTAAGTGGAACAGCAAATTTATGCCCTGTCACAAATGGGGTTCAAGGGACTGTTGTCACTGTTCTTTTATGAATAGATCATTTTGTTATGTTATGTATAACATATAGAGACAAACACTAGATGTTGATAGAGTGGGTGTGATGAAAAGAAGCAGTATGGGTATGTGTAAAGACAGGGAGGGTGAGAGGAAGCTAAGAAATACATGGGAGGATGGCATGCTTGAGGACATTTAGGAAAGAGGGTTTTAAGGAAGATGCACAGAGGTTTAACATCTACTGTAAAACAATAACATTAATCAGTTATTCTAGCATCTAGCTACAGTGTCCTCAGAAAAGAAAAGAAAAAAAATCAGAGAAAATAAAATAAAATAAAATAAAAGAGAAATAAAGAACACACACACACACACATATACATATATGTATATAAATATATATACACATATAAAAAATAATGTGTGTATATGTGTGTGTGTGTGTATGTGTGTGTGTGTGTGTGTGTGTGTGTGTGTGTGTGTGTGTGTGTGTGTGTGTGTGTGTGTGTGTGTGTGTGTGTGTGTGTGTGTGTGTATATAGATATAGATAGATAGATAGATAGATAGATAGATAGATAGATAGATAGATAGATACACATACATACATACATATATATATAAGATACATGCATACATACATGCATACATACATACATACATACATACATACATACATACATGCGTGTGTATGTGTGTGTTCAAACACTAATAACACATGACAACCTGTACTCACCTACAACATTAGAAGAATCAGACTTTTGTTTCAGTTTGTGCAGTGTTGTCTGGTGGCATTGCTGTAGCCAAGGATTGTGTGTGTCTGGATGAGTAAGAGATGATATATTTTCATCTGCTGAGGTTCTGGTGTTCGTGGCTGCACTGCAGGCACTGTTGGGTGACGTTGGTGGGGTGACTGGGTGCTCATCCTCTTCATCACTTTCTAGTTCAACACTACTGGAACTAATGCGCCTGAGACATCTTCTGCAAAGAATGTACACGGAAGATATCAAGCTCACAGAATGAATAGTAGAATGAATACACAATGAGCACAATAAAATCTGAGAATGAACATATCCTATATTCTTGTAATATTTTTTCCCCGAAATTTCTTCTCACATCCATATCCATTATGACTGAAAAATGCATCAACTCCTCTCCCTGCCAAATGATTGTTCTTAAAAAATTGTGGTGGAGCTTGCAGTGTGTTTCATGTCAATTTACCCTTTGGATTCAGATGCTTCTTTGCCTGCATATGGGCCAAATAAAGGCATTAGGCTTACTTGAACGGCCACTCTGACCAGTGTGTGGCTTGCAAGCAGGGTGCACACAAACACTCATATGCAGTGACATGACTCCTTGCCTCCACTTTGAAACACTATTTTCTTTTTTTTCTGCATGAGTGCTTTTAGCTTTTTAGCCATTTTCCAATGTCTATATTTGTCATTTGATTTGCTTTATCCAGATGGCAATAGACTGTTTTCCTTGCACAGACTCCACATCATCTCTCTAAGTTGTCCATAACTCCGTGCAATAATAATAACAATAAGAAATATTTTGCTTTATCTTTCCTTTTTTTTTCAATTCAATTTTCTGTTATACAACTGCCACTCAAGGCAAGTAGAAATAGGATCCTGAACAAGGAAACAACATCCTCCCAGGAGCAGGCTCTCTTCCATTCATGGCTCACAGACTGTACTTTCCATATTTGTTTATCAATGGAAATAATACAAAAACCCCTTCCTTAAAGTCCACTGAGTCTAATCACCCTCCAAGAGGTTAGTGCACTCACAGCAAGTCATTCCCATCAACCCAGCCCTAAGCCAAATTTTCTTAGGACCCATTCACCCACCCCTCAAGCCAATATTTTTTATGATGTGATGGTCATATCATTCAGATTGCAGGTTAACCTATTGGATCTGGGTAATGGGGACTTCCCACCATAATAAAATTTGGCTGAGGAGTGGTTGACAAGAACATATTGTATTTGAACATTTGGCTGAGCTCTTGTATTATTTCCAAAGGTAGAAAAGGTTGGAGAGCCACCAGCTGTGAGCCAATCCAGGGAGGACATTAGCCTGCCATAACTAGTAACACAGGGTATATTGAGGAAAACTGAATAACATGATATATACAAATAACACAAACAAAGTTACTTATTGTTATTTAATTTGATTGCAAAGTAATTGGGAAGCTGAAGTTAGGTCCCCTTTCATCGTTAATAATACTGCCAAGTCTTCTTACCCTTGCTTCAGCGCCGCTTGGTTACTTCTCGCTGAAGGCATTTGTTCATTGGGTAGCGCAGCCAGAGACAAACCATCCCCTGCTTCTTGAAGGACCACTTGCAATGTACCGTGAAACTGTGGGGTGTACTTCTTTACTTCCGGGGGAAGGGTGCGGTAAAATCTGTATTCTCTCCCAATCAGTGGTTTGCATAAAGTTGTGTCATCCAACACAAACATGGATGAATGACCTCCAACTTGGTGCACAAGTGGCTCTAGCTGCAAAGGAAAAATGGTTAGGATGGAGAGCAAAATACTGATGGTAATTAGGAATTGACATTAGCCCTTACATACATATCTTTAGAACTACTGTAGAGAGAGATTATTTAGCACCTAAACAATCAGTTCATTTTAGATTACTCAAATGAGAAATC